GGCCCCCCATTTTAGAATCCCCGCCCTCTTTTTGTGATTGGATGGCTAAGGAGAAAACTGTCAACCTCTGTAAGTCCTTTGTAATCACATGCACATGTCGTGGAGCCTCATTGGCTCCCAGTGCTGCCCCTCCCTCTTTTAGTGTTTCTTTACTAGGTGGCCGATACCATCCCACCTTGTTTCAGTTTCCGGTTACACCGGTGCGATTTACCGTGCACTTTCAGCGCAATTTTCAGGTGCGATTTCTGAAGGCTTAATTGCTACTTGTGAAGATTTTCAATGATTTCTTGCAATTTGCAGTACGGTTTCCAATATATTCTATGTATGTAACAAAACTGCAGAAAAAGTCATGCAAGAACTAATTTCGCTGCAGCAAATCGCACATATTAAGACCAGGGGCGGACTGACCATTTAGAAACTCAGGCACAGCCCGAGGGCCTGGAGTCAGTAGGGGGCCCCATGAAATACCCCTGGTACCTTAAGTTTGGGCAAGGACACAGGGGCCCCATGATCCCCTATTACCCGGGAGCCCCATGAGTTGTCAGTCCGCCCCTGGTTAAGACACCGACATTCACATTCATTAGGTGCGATTTCAATTTGCAAATCGCCCCTGAAATTGCACCGGTGTGACCGGGCAGTTAGTCACCAGTCACACTGCTGCGATATAAAATCGTGCGATTTGTTTGCACTTTCAGTGTGATTTCTGAAGACTTTATTGCCGCTTGTGAAGATTTTCACTGATTTCTTGCAATTTGCAGTGCGATTTCCATTACATTCTATGTATGTGAAATCGCAACAAAACGGAAAAAAATAGTAATGCAAGAGTTACTTTAGAAATCGCGCTGCAGCAAATCGCACACGTTAAGACATTCACATTCATTAGGTGCAATGTTAGGTGCAATTTCAATTCGCAAATCGCTCCGTGCACTTATGTATGTGAAATCGCAAAAAAAACTGCAGAAAAAGTAACGCAAGAACTACTTTAGAAATCTCACTGCAGCAAATCGCACAAGTTAAGACATTCACATTCATTAGGTGCGAATTCAATTTGCAAATCGCACCTGAAATTGCACCGGTGTGACTGGGCACCAAGTCCCCACTCACACCGCTGCGATTTAAAATCATGAGATTTGTTTGCACTTTCAATGTGATTTCTGAAGACTTTATTGACACTTGTTAAGATATTTAATGATTTCTTGCAATTTGCAGTGCGATTTCCATTCTATTCTATGTATGTGAAGATGCAACAAAACTGCAGAACTAATAACGCAAGAACTACTTTGGAAATCTCGCTGCAGAAAATCACACATGTCAAAACACCGACATTCACATTCATTAGGTCATTTCAATTTGCAAATCGCACCTGAAATTGCACTGGTGTGACCGGGCACTTAGTCACTGGTCACACCACTGCGATTTAAAATTGCGAGATTTGTGTGCACTTTCAGTGCAATTTCTGAAGACTTTATTGCCGCTTGTGAAGATTTTCAACAATTTCTTGCAATTTGCAGTGCGATTTCCATTACATTCTATGTATGTGCAGATACGACAAAACTACAGAAAAACTAATGCAAGAACTACTTTAGAAATTGTGCTGCAGAAAATCGCACATGTTAAGACACTGACATTCACATTCATTAGGTGTGATTTCAGGTGCAATTTAAAGTCGCAAATCGCACTGATGTGACAGTGCACTTATGTATGTGAAATTGCAAAATAACTGCAGAAAAAGTCGTGCAAGACCTACTTTAGAAATTGCGCTGCAGCAAATCTCGCAAGTTAAGACACTGACATTCACATTCATTAGGTGCGATTTCAATTTGCAAATCGCACTTGAAATTGCACCGGTGTGCCCACCGCTCACACCACAGCAAATTAAAATCGTGAAATTTGTTTGCACTTTTTCAATGCGATCTCTGAAGACTTTATTGCCACTTGTGAAGATTTTCAATGATTTCTTGTAATTTGCAGTGCGATTTTCATTATATTCTATGTATGTGAAGACGCGACAAAACTGCAGAAAAAGTAATGCAAGAACTACTTTAGAAATCGCACTGCAGCACATCGCACATATTAAGACACCAACATTCATATTCATAAGATCACATCGGGTGCAACTTGGCATGCGATTTGCATGCCAGGTGACATGCAAATAGTATGCCAAGTCGCACCCTATTGTCTGCTATTAGAGTGATCATATCGGTGCGGTTCTGACCAGGGGCGGACTGACAACTCATGGGGCCCCCGGGCAATAGGGGATCATGGGGCCCCTGTGTCCTTGCCCAAACTCAAAAAAGCCTATGAAAAAGGTACCAGGGGCATCTCATGGGGCCCTCTACTGTCCCCGGGCCCTCAGGCAGTGCCCGAGTTTCCAAATGGTCAGTCCGCACCTGGTTCTGACTTGGTCGGATCTGCACTGATTTCTAAAGTAGTACATTCTCTACTTTTGTTGCGATTTGCATAGACATCTGTGTTATATGCAGGGGTGGACTGACAACTCATGGGGCCCCCAGGCAATAGGGGATCATGGGGCCCCCAGGCAATAGAGGATCATGGGGCCCCTGTGTCCTTGCCCACACTCAAAAAAAGCCTATGAAAAAGGTACCAGGGGCATCTCATGGGGCCCCCTACTGACCCCGGGCCCTCAGGCAGTGCCCGAGTTCTCGAATGGTCAGTCCACCCCTGATTATATTCCTTGCAAATCACAAGGAAATCAGCAGGTCACCCAATTTTGAAATCGTTCGACCTCACTGTAAGTCGCACGACTTTAAAATCGGCTTTGATGTGACCCGGGTGTTAGGTGCGATTTAAATTTGGAAATTGCACCTGAAATTGCCTCGGTGTGACCGGACACTAAGTGAAATCGCACCTAATGAATGTGAGTGTCAGTGTCTTAGTCACCGATCACATCTCTGCAATTTAAAATCGCATGATTTGTGTGCACTTTTAGTGTGATTTCTGAAGACTTTATTGCCACTTGTTAAGATTTTCAGTGATTTTTTGCAATTTTCAGTGCGATTTCCATTACATTCTATGTATGTGAAGGCGCGACAAAACTGCAGAAAAAGTCATGCAAGAACTACTTTAGAAATCGCACTGCAGCACATCGCACATGTTAAGACACCAACATTCACATTCATTTGGTGCAATTTCAATTTGCAAATCGCACCGGTTTGACCGTGCACTTATGTGAAATCGCAAAAAAACTGCAGAAAGTAACGCAAGAACTATTTTAGAAATCTCGCTGCAGCAAATCGCACAAGTTAAGAGTCTGACATTCACATTCATTAGATGCGATTTAATTTGCAAATTGCACTTGAAATTGCACCGGTGTGCCCAGGCACTTAGTCACCGCTATCACGATTTAAAATCACGAGATTTGTGTGCACTTTCAGTGCGATTCCTGAAGACTTTATTGCCACTTGTGAAGATTTTCAGTGATTTCTTGCAATTTTCAGTGCGATTTCTATTACATTCTATGTATGTGCAGACGCGACAAAACTGCAGAAAAACGAATGCAAGAACTACTTTAGAAATCGCACTGCAGCAAATCGCACGTTAGGACACCGTCATTCACATTCATTAGATGCGAATTCAAATCGCACCAGAAATCGTATGACCGGGCACTAGATCCACTGAAATCATCAATGGGTCTCTCTGCTTCTTTATGCAATGCAGGCAGATCATGGCTGGTGGGAGGGGCCAGCAGCGTGCTGCACATAACCTTCTGAAAACATCAGCCTCCTCTGAAGAGCCCTCAGACTTCATGCAAGCAGTGGGCTGACACTTGGGAGAAGATATGCAAATTTAAAAATACCTGGATGGGTGGGCTGGAGAAGTGGGCATTCCCAGGTAGACTTAATTTGCATACAGCCCACCCACTTGTATGCTGAGCCTGAAACTGAAATCCAATGAATGAAAGGGGTGGGCTGGGGACAGTCAGGCTGGGGAGGAATGTGCTAGATGATGCTGGATGCCCGCCAGTCAGGAAATGAGGCGGAGCTCTATCTGACTTTCTGCAGATTCTAATGCACACTGTGAGAAGCTGACAACCCATAATTCTCCCCAATGGGGATGTAGACAGTAATAAAAACCTGACAGGTTCAAATGACAAAAAAAATACTAAACCTGGCCTTGGTTACAGTTGCAACACCCAGTAGCTGTTGTAATGCCACCGGCTGTAATCTCAGCTTGGCCCTTTAACTTTGTTCCACAGCTTGGCCCTTTAACTTCGCCCCGCAGCTTGGCCCTTTAACTTCGCCCCGCAGCTTGGCCCTTTAAATTCGCCCCGCAGCTTGGCCCTTTAAATTCGCCCCGCAGCTTGGCCCTTTAACTTCGCCCCGCAGCTTGGCCCTTTAACTTCGCCTCGCAGCTTGGCCCTTTAAATTCGCCCCCCAGCTTGGCCCTTTAACTTCGCCCCGCAGCTTGGCCCTTTAAATTCGCCCCGCAGCTTGGCCCTTTAAATTCGCCCCGCAGCTTGGCCCTTTAACTTCGCCCCGCAGCTTGGCCCTTTAACTTCGCCCCGCAGCCTGGCCCTTTAAATTCGCCCCGCAGCAAGCCGCGCCGAATCATGCTTGTTTCCCGTCCAGCGGATGACATCGTCCAGCCATGGCAGCTGGGAAGCGGCTGCTGATCCGTCTGTCCGCCCCGACACCTGCGCTCAGTCTGCAGATGCTGTGCAAGGCTGCGCCGGGGACCAGGACACCCATCCAGCTCAGGGACTCAGTAGCTGCACTTTGCGTCTTGTAGGAAAAAAAACAATATAACACAAAGACATGAAAAGCAGATCAGAGACAGGAGAGGGTGGAGGTCCAGATCCGGGGGGGGGGGGGGGGGGGGGGGGGGGGGGGGGGAGAGCTAGGGTCACCTGAACAGTCACGGTTGTGTTAGGGGCAGCATGCTGACACTTTACTTTTAGGAGAGTGCTGGTCAGCTTACCTGGTATAGGGGGCCTCAAGTGTGGTCCCTGACATCACCAAAGGGCCACACAATATTCTGTGAAAGCAATAATAAAGAGAGATGTATGAGTCTTCAGACATGTAACAGGCGATGGTCAGAGACTGCAGACATACTACAGGAGATGGTCAGAGACTGCAGACATGTAACAGGAGATGGTCAGAGACTGCAGACATACTACAGGAGATGGTCAGAGACTGCAGACATACTACAAGAGATGGTCAGAGACTGCAGACATACTACAAGAGATGGTCGGAGACTGCAGACATACTACAAGAGATGGTCAGAGACTGCAGACATACTACAGGAGATGGTCAGAGACTGCAGACATGTAAAAGGAGATGGTCAGAGACTGCAGACATACTACAAGAAATGGTCAGAGACTGCAGACATACTACAAGAGATGGTCAGAGACTGCAGACATACTACAAGAGATGGTCAGAGACTGCAGACATACTACAAAAGATGGTCAGAGACTGCAGACATACTGCAGCAGGAGGGGGTCAGAGACTGCAGACATACTATAGGAGAGGGTCAGAGACTGCAGACATACAACAGGAGAGACTGGTCAGGAGATGGTCACTGCAGACATACTGCAGGAGATGTTCAGAGACTGAAGACATATGACAGGAGATGGTCAGAGACTGCAGACATACTATAGGAGAGGGTCAGAGACTGCAGACATACAACAGGAGATGGTCAGAGACTGAAGACATACTATAGGAGAGGGTCAGAGACTGCAGACATACTATAGGAGAGGGTCAGAGACTGCAGACATACTATAGGAGATGGTCAGAGACTGCAGACATACTATAGGAGAGGGTCAGAGACTGCAGACATACTGCAGGAGATGGTCAGAGACTGCAGACATACAACAGGAGATGATCAGAGACTGAAGACATACTAGAAGAGATGGTCAGAGACTGCAGACATACTGCAGGAGATGGTCAGAGACTGCAGATATAGTACAGGAGATGGTCAGAGACTGCAGACATACTGCAGGAGAGGGGTCGGAGACTGCAGACATATGACAGGAGATGGTCAGAGACTGCAGACATGCTATAGGAGAGGGTCAGAGACTGCAAATATACTATAGGAGATGGTCAGAGACTGCAGACATACTGTAGGAGATGGTCAGAGAATGCAGACATACGAAAGGAGATGGTCAGAGACTGCAGATATAGTACAGGAGATGGTCAGAGACTGCAGATATAGTACAGGAGATGGTCAGAGACTGAAGATATAGTACAGGAGATGGTCAGAGACTGCAGACATACGACAGACTGATCTGATTGATATAAAATCCAAATCCTAGTACTAGAGATAGATAGATAGATAGATAGATTGATAGATAGATAGATAGATAGATAGATAGATATAGATAGATAGATAGATAGAAATAATAGATAGATAGATAGATAGATAGATAGATAGATAGATAGATAGATAGATAGATATAGATATGATAGATAAAAATACTGAAATATTGTACTGTCTAATTTCAGAGGAAGTGCTCTGGTTTGTGGTCAGTAGATCCAAGATGATGGAAGCCAGGGGACCAGAGATGATGGAAGCCAGGGGAGGACCAGAGATGATGGGAGCCAGGGGACCAGAGATGATGGAAGCCAGGGGACCAGAGATGATGGGAGCCAGGGGACCAGAGATGATGGAAGCCAGGGGACCAGAGATGATGGAAGCCAGGGAATCAGGCATGATGTAATCTAAGGTACCAGAGATGATGGAAGCCAGGGCACAAGAGATGATGGAAGCCAGGAGACAAAAGAAGATTGAGGTCGGGGACCAGAGATTATGGAAGCCAAAGATGATGAAAGATGATCAAAGCCAGGGGACCAGAGATGATGGAAGCCAGGGAATCAGAGATCATAGCCAGGGGACCAGAGATGATGGAAGCCAGGGGACAAGAGATGATGGAAGCCAGGAGACAAAAGAAGATTGAGGTCAGAGGACCAGAGATTATGGAGGCCAGGTGACCAAAGATGATGAAAGACAGAGGACCAAAAATTATGGAAGCCAGAGAATCAGAGATGATGGAAGCCAAGGGACCAGAGATGATGGAAGCCGGGAGACCAGAGATGATGAAAGACAGGAGACCAGAGATGATTGAGGTCAGTGGACCAGAGATGATGGAAGTCAAGGAACCAGAGATAATGGAAACCAGGGAACCAGAAGCTCGGGGAGGTTGGACTTGAATGGGCTTGTGCCTTTTTTACTGTAGGATATGTACCTATGTCGTACTGGTGCCCTATGTTCGGTCCTGTCCAAGGCTCCCTTTTAGGATGTCTGTGTTCACAGTGGAGGCAGAAGGCTATTACAGATAATAGATAGATTATTATTGATATTCTATAAGTCATGTCTGTCACTGGTCACGGTTCCCATATAGGACACTGGTGGTCAGAGTAGCCAGATATTTAGATACAGTAGATTATAGATAGATTTTTTGTTGATCCTCTGTGAGTCATGTTTGGGGCAAGTTTGGAGCTGCATTTCTGCAAATGGAGTTGGAGATTTGGTCAAGATCAATGGTGTCCTCAAGGCTGACAAATACAGGCAGATACTTATTCATCATGTCATACCATCAGGGAGGTGTGTGATTGGCCCCTAATGTATTCTGCAGCAGGACAGCGACTCCAAACATACAGCAAATGTCATTAAGAACTACAGTGCCTTTAAAAAGTATTCATACCCCCTGACATTCTCCACATTCATCCAATTGTCTTCAGAAGTCACCTAATTAGTAAATAGAGTCCCCCTGTGTGTAATCTCAGTATAAATCCAGCTGTACTGTGAAGCCCTCAGAGGTTTGTTAGAGAACATTAGTGAACAAACAGCATCATAAAGGCCAAGGAACACACCAGACAGGTCAGGGATAAAGTTGTGGAGAAGTTTAAAGTAGGGTAGGCTACACTCCACCGAAACCGCCCTCCTCAAAATCACCAACGACCTACTAACCGCCAAAGCCAAAGGCGACTACTCTGTCCTCCTCCTCCTGGACCTCTCCGCGGCCTTCGACACAGTTGACCACCCCCTCCTCCTTAATAAACTACTCTCCCTTGGCATCAGAGACACCGCTCTCTCCTGGTTCTCCTCGTACCTATCCCGACGCTCCTTCAGTGTCACCTACAATGGTGCCACCTCCCCCTCACTCTCCCTCTCTGTTGGGGTCCCCCAGGGCTCTGTCCTTGGACCCCTTCTCTTCTCCATCTACACCTCCTCCCTTGGCAAACTCATACACTCCCATGGCTTCAACTACCATCTCTATGCTGATGACACTCAAATTTATCTCTCCACCCCTCACCTCACCTCCACTTTCTCCGCCCGCATCACTCACCTCCTAAACGACATCTCTGACTGGATGTCGCTCCATTTCCTCAAACTCAACCTCTCCAAAACCAAGCTTCTCGTCTTCCCTCCTGCCCGCGCCCCCCCCCCCCCCCCCTATCCATCACTACTAACATCACCACCATCAATCCCACCCCGCAAGCCAAAGTCCTTGGAGTCATTCTGGACTCTAACCTCTCCTTCCAACCTCATGTCAAATCACTCACAAACACATGCAGACTCCACCTCCGCAATATCGCCAAAATACGCTCCTTCCTTACCCCAGACACCACTAAACTACTTGTGCACTCCCTGATTATCTCACGCCTTGACTACTGCAACTCCCTCCTCACCGGCCTACCCCAGTGCAGGCTCTCCCCGCTTCAGACCATCCTCAACTCAGCGGCTAGACTCATCCACCTCACCACCCCGCTCCACCTCTGCCACCCCCCTCTGCCTCTCCCTCCACTGGCTCCCTATCGCCCAACGCATCAAATTCAAACTACTCACTCTGACCTACAAAGCCATTCACAACACTGCCCCTAACTACCTCACCAACCTGATTCCCAAGTACCACCCTACCCGTACCCTTCGTTCTTCACAGGACCTCCTTCTATCTTGCTCCCTGGTCTCCTCCTCACACGCACGTCTGCAAGACTTCTCCAGGTCCTCCCCCATCCTCTGGAACTCACTACCCCAATCCATCAGACTGTCACCTTCCCTCCTCACCTTCAGGCGCTCCCTGAAAACCCACCTCTTCAGGGAAGCCTACCCCACCCTCACCTAACTGCTGCTCTCCTTCATTCCTCCTACCACTCCATCCCCCCCACAGCCACTTCCTCCTGTACCACTACCCCCCCCCCTCCTAGATTGTAAGCTCGAAAAGAGTAGGGCCCTATAACCCCTCGTGTGCTGTTTGTAGTTGCTGTAATGTTTCATGTATTGTCCCCCCCTCTATTGTACAGCGCTGAGCAAACCCTTTGGCGCTATATAAACTCAATGTAATGTAATGTAATGTAATGGGTTAGCTTATAAAAAAAACATTCCAAGATCCCAACATCTCACGGAGCACTGTTCAGTCCATCATCCAAAAATGGAAAGAGTATGGCACAACTGCAGACCTACCAGGACATGGCCGTCCATCTAAACTGACAGGCCGGGCAAGGAGAGCATTCATCAGAGAAGCAGCCAAGAGGCCCATGGGAACTCTGGAGGAGTTGCAGAGATCCACAGCTCAGGTGGGAAATTCTGTCCATCGGACAACTATTAGTCGTGCACTCCACAAATCTGGCCTTTATGGAAGAGTGGCAAGAAGAAAGCCATTGTTGACAGAAAGCCATAAGAAGTCCCGTTTGCAGTTTGTGAGAAGCCATGTGGGGGACAGCAAACATGTGGAAGAAGGGGCTCTGGTCAGATGAGACCAAAATTTTACTTTTTGGCCTAAAAGCAAAACGCTATGTGTGGTACACAACTAACAATGCACATCACCCTGAACACACCATCCCCACCGTGAAACATGGTGGTGGCAGCATCATGTTATGGGGATGCTTTTCTTCAGCAGGGACAGGGAAGCTGGTCAGAGTTGATGGGAAAATGGATGGAGCCAAATACAGGGCAATATTAGAAGAAAACCTGTTAGAGTCTGCAAAAGACTTGAGACCGGGGCGGAGGTTCACCTTCCAGCAGGACAACGACCCGAAACATCCAGCCAGAGCTACAATGGAATGGTTTATATCAAAGCATCTTCATGTATTAGAATACCTCAGTCACAGTCCAGACCCAAATCCAATGGAGAATCTGTGGCAAGACTTGGAAATTGCTGTTCCCAGACGCTCTCCATCCAATCTGACAGAGCTTGAGCAATTCTGCAAAGAAGAATGGGCAGAAATGTCCCTCTCTAGATGTGTAAAGCTGGTAGAGACATCCCCAAAAAGACTTGCAGCTGCAATTGCAGGAAAGGGGGTCCTACAAAGTATTGACTCCGGGGGGCTGAATACAAATGCCGACACGCTTTTCACAGATTTATTTGTAAAAAAATGTGAAAACCATTTCTCATTTTCCTTCCACTTCACAATTATGTGCCACTTTGTGTTGGTCTATCACATCCAATCCCAATAAAATACGTTTAGGGCCAGTTCACACTACAAAAAATGCGCCCCAGATATGTTTTTGCTCACAGTTCACACCACACGAAGTTCCGGTGCAGTTTTGATGCAGTTTGCCATGTTCCAGCATGGTTCTGTGCAGAAAAAAATGCAGCATGTTCTACATTTTTTTCTGCAACAGAAACTGACTGGAACTGACTGCACTAGTGTGAACCAGGGCCATTGGAATACATAGAAAACACTGTACATGCATTTTTTATGCAGAAAAAAAACGCACTGAACTGAATCTAGTGTGAACTAGCCTTTACATTATATATAATAAAGTGCAGCGCTGCACTTTATTATATATATTTGTACTTTATAGGTTTCATTTGGTTACCTTGATATGCTAGCTGCTACACCAGGAAGCGCTCACTTTGTTTTATTATTATTTTACATAGCCTTT